GTACAAAAAGCTAAGAGCTAGCATCTTATCTAGCCCGCCATAATAGAACGTCCTTCCCGCTGTTAGATATACTACTTTATGCTACAAAACTAAACAAACATTCAAAAAAACTCTCAGGCTCAGTTTTTTCCATCCTTTATAGATGATCCGGTTTATGGTTTTCGGGCTTATCAGACTGCGTATCCAGCAGCAACGAGTCATCGATCCGTCTGGGTACAATAGACCACCATTAAAAACCTGGAAGCACCGGACAGAAGTTTTGTCCAATTGTGGGACTCGTGAGGGAATTCTCGGAGTTATAGTGAGAAGCCGGGGCGATTAGAGCTTATTCGCGTCTAGAAGAGACTGTTATCTACCTCGGTAAGGTACAAGATGGTCGCCCAATCTCGTGGATAGGTCGGGGTTAGACACTAACACCGTTTGATGCCAACTGAGTTGCCCGAAGGTTAGGTGTTCGCGAGCGAGACTGAACGTCCTGGGTTCGAATCCCGCGAGAAGAATCGTGGGTGCGCACTGCTGAGGAGTCCCACAACAAGACGAACCGGACGTCCAGTGCTTCCAAGTTCTCAGTGGTGGTCTAACATCAATCGGTTCGTTATCTGAATCAAAAGTTTAATAGTCTTCACAACCTTGTACGGACCATCTGGGTATGAACCAAAGAACAGGAGACGAAGATAAATTAGAAATGTACAGGCGAATTAGTGTGGAGCTCTATTTAGAAGCACTTTAACAAAAGACTCCTAGGAAGTCGCTATGACTAATTTAGCAGGTAACTAGTTCCAAGACTCGCTCACTTACAAAGAATAGAAGGGATAACTATGGTTCGATTAGTTTTTCTGGCTTCCTAACTTACATGTGTCTCTCTCAGAGGGTCTATTGGAATTGAACCCAAATGGATGTCCTGGTGTGTGAATCACTATGGAACGCTCATCCCCACATAAAGCCACTTTAATTTACTAGACCAACTACCCTACTTGTTCGAAGGAAATCGAAGGCTAGTTTTTTCAGCAATAATGTGTTTATATCTTTTCACACATATGTCTTCATGCTTGTAAAAACATGTATGACGGGCAACATGTGATGGCATATGTATTTGCTTTTTCAACGAGTCTAAATGTTAGTTGCTTGAGACGTTGATAACTCCGGTGCTATTAGATGTTTGCATCTAGATTATATTAATTAATTCAAAAAGTTGTTTTTTCACCCTGATTTCACACTTGTTGACCGTTCGTTTTCTGCTAAGTTTGTAATAAACAGTTACCACAACAAAGCTTCCGATTCTGTAAGCCTTATACGGTCGGGAATTTCATAATAACAGAAGTTAAGTCGAATTAATATGAAAAGTATATGAACAGTCGATTATATTTCGCAACACCACTCAAATGCTACATTCCAATTTTATATACACTGGAGAGTAAATGCGCAATGTCCATGTGAGTTTTTCATAAAGGTTGCACATCGGTCGCCGAAGTGATTTAGGAAATCGTCTTTGGGTACGTTACGCTTTATTCTTATTTGGTTGCAGCAAAAGAAGAAACAGCGTTTTGTTGCCTCTAATCTGACCCCAGGTAGATCGCTTCTGATTGCCTTCGAATGATTTCTGTCGAAATATACATCCTGGCTATACTCGTACATAATCATCGACTTAACCCGCGTTAGTGAATAACGGAATTAAACAAGTCAAATACGAGAATGAACTTTGAATGAGTATATTTCATACAATCGTTAATTTGGACATACAATCAGGGAAACGGAGCGAAGGAGGCGAAATGGATTGCAGAAGACATGATAGCTAATTCAATTTGGCCATGCCTGAGTTAATATCTATAGTCCGATAAAATTAGGCTACAGACAGGTGATGAGTAAGGTAAGTAATTAGTACAAATACGATCATATGAAAAAGTCAGGATTATTTAGCTAATAAGTGACAGGGTAAAAATGTGGCTTGAGAAAATGGATAGATTGATCTGATAAAAGAACCGGAAAAACAGCACCCTACTGCTCATCACGTATATGTAGAAAGAGTGTTTGAACTTTTGAGATATAAATTACTTAAGCTATGTATAGAACAATCTGATGGAGTGGATAAGTTACCATGGAACCACAAATTATTTATGACGCTCGAACAAAGGACAAACTGAATAATGATTGGTAACTCATATATCAACACATGAAGGAACGTTTAAACATACCTAATTCACAAACCCCATGACTCGTTTTGTGCTCACGTTTTCCTATGACTTCGATCCCCTTCTATGTAATTTATCTGATGTCGTGCAATAATCACCGGCACGTATTGTCAGTTACTTCCTTTATGACTATGTAATGACGAGAACGGCCAAAAACGTGCATAAAGCATTTGGTTGATGGTACCTGCTGGGATTATAACCTAATGAAAATTATTGTGCGGAACGAAACATCGACTGCGAATTCGTCTCAACCAAAATGCAAAGAACCGTCACGTAATAAGAATTATACGTTTTTTGTAGTTTATCGACTGTTATCCTACTTTAAGAACAATGTCACGCTGGTATATTGGAATCGTAGCTCCTCATATGTTTGAGCTCAGTTACTTTTGGTAGGTGCTTATAGGTGAACTCTGCTTCGAGCTCAAGCGTTGGTTCCTGGCTAACACTAGTGTATTTGAACTGTGATATATAGTCAAGGTGTCGGACTTCTCGCGGTTAGAATTTATCAGCTCTAACTTTTGGTGCATTGGTCAGTGGTTTGTAACCCGTAAAAACTATGAAGCCTCTGCCTTCCAGAATGTGTCGGGAATGCTTGACCGTTCTTTTTCGGAGGAAGAATACCTCGATTCTGCTATGGTGAGTCTTTTGGAGAAGAAAGCAATTAGTTTTTAGGCGTTCTTCACCGCTAGGTTAAGGTTACCGCCTACTGCTTAGTCCGAAACATCTACCGTTTAAGAAAGTGGGGAAAGGGAATTTAGATACATCAACAAAGGTGCTTGGGCCAGTTTATATTTTAGTACTTTTAGAGCCTCAACAGCCTAAGAAGTCAGCTTGAATTCTTTCGGTCTTCCTTTGAGTGAATGTCGAAGGTTGCATTAATTGTGCACAACCGGGCACGAATATGCGATAAAATTTAATTGGATCCAGGAAACTTCTAAGTTGTGTTAGAGAAATAGGTATGAAGTATTGTCGTATGGTGTCCACTTTTTCTTTGACTGGTGTAATCTCTTCTGAGTTTATTGTGTGCCCCATAGATTCTAAGGTTCGAACAACGGAAACACACTTTGAATTATCTTCATTTCACTTTCATCCGGCCCTTTTAACACTGCTCTTACATGCTGTTCGTCTGATTGTATATCGGGACTGGCAATCAGCAAATCGTCTATATACCCCTGTGCAAATCGCATGTCTCGAAGTAGATTATTCGTGAATCTTTGGAATGTTTGTGCCGCGGATTTCAGGCCGAATGGCATGCGTACAAACTCGAACAGTCCAAAAGGTGTAATAATAGCTGTCTTAGGGATACCTTCCTCAGCCACTGGGATATTGTGTTATGCAATTTTGGTAAATATATTCATAAATCGTAGACCGTTTGTAAAATCTTGGATATGCGGTATTCAGCACCTATCTGGTACGTTTTGATGGTTCAGGGATCTGTAATCCCTGCCCGGCCTCTATTTTTCTTTGGGACCATTTGCAAATGAGATGATCATTGACTATAAGAGGTACGGACAATACCCAGTTGTGATGTAGTGGGATTGGACCATAACCACACAATCCTCAAAGCTGAACACGAGACTACTCGGGAAATAGATATTCAATACTTAACCCGGAGAACTACTGAACGATGGAAAAGGCGTGAACAAAGAATTGAATCAATTGGAGTTGATCGGATGGCATGGCTCGGACATGCATGAGTGGTCCCTGCTCAATGTTACCTTATACCTTTTATTCATATTAAATATATTGTTTTATCTCTAGCCTAAGTTTGTTCTCCACCATGTATTGGTAATGGTTACGATGTTGTGAGTTGATGTAAACGAGGTTGTGTTTTCCACGTAAGATCTTATAGATTAGGCAGTTATATCATGGCAAATCAACAATTATAGGATACGGTTTAATATTAGAGCAGTACTAATATCATGGTAGACCATAATTCTACAGCAGCATTTGGTCGAATTCAGTTCCAGCGAGTTTAAGCTTGGTTGGTGCTAGTCTCCTTGGTAGTGCAAACACAAGTACGCCTTCGGTTTTGATCATATGACTTGATCATAGTTTGTATTTGAAGGCTGTGGGTTCGGTTTAACTGAGTTTGAAAATTCCGCGAGTATATCCTGGAATTTCGACGTTGCTATTGGATAAGTTTGTAACAAATTTAGAAATGTGATGTGACTTTCTTTGCTTTTTATGTAATTCAAAGTTGCATTCAGTGTTTAGCATCTTTTTCGAATGTCATCTAGAAATTCATATCTCTCTGAAAAACCCATCCGCAGTATAGCGAAACTTAAATCGGCTGCAGTCTAAACCCAGGGGAATCGGCTCCGGAACCTCAAATCTAGCGTTAACGATTTCTGTCCAAATATCGCGATTTTAGTTTTACTGGCAGCTTGAAATGTGACTTCGGATGTTTCTCGACCCACTTCAGTTTTGTTTTCGATAAATAGTATCAAGAGCAGCGATAGTATCAATCAAGAAGTTTCAATGGACCTGTAGCATCGAATTCCGATATATGTTGTCGTTAGTTGCTGACCTCACAATTAAGGCAAGTTTTCGGCAAGTATAGGCAAAATATTGCGACCGTTTGATCAATAATGTAGTCAGTAAGATAAATGACACTACAGAGTGTGTAACTTTAGGATCGGCTTACACTAGTATATTTAGATAATAAACTTGCTGAATTTCGTCGGTGCTTACGGATATTAGTTACCATATCTGATTATGTCAGTTGTTAGTTTATTCACTGACCAACTGGGTAATATACCATAAAACCTATTTCAATCAAAAAACACCTCTCAGCACTTGTTTTAAATGACCATATCGACCTTGACCAGCCGACCTACTTAGCGCAATAGTTGATTGGCTAACGTGTTGACATCGAGGTGGGTTCCGATATGAAGTATATCCGGTGTCGGAATCGAATATTGCAATGAGAAGTCCTTATTAAGTAGAACTAACTCTTATAGTGAAGGTCGAGTCACGACCAGTAAAACCTGGGGTAAATATCCATAAACTGTTTGCATGAAACGGAATCAAAAGGAACGGAGAATCTTCCGATTAAGTTCATGCTCAATCAACGATTACTTCATCACTGTAACTTGTACCTTTTTACTTTTCTGTTCACCTTATTAAATTGAGGGAACTTAATGATTTCGGCTTCCCTTTTTTATTACGACTGTTTTTTGTATCCTAAACTAGTCAGGTTCTTCTTGTGGAAACATTTATTATTAGGTAAGCTGGTTTGGTTCTGTTGGACAAAAACCTCGACGAAATACTATTTCATAAACACTGATTAGCAATGCATATTAATATTCAGGGATCCAATTAGATTCTGGTAAAGATAATATCTTAGCACCAATGCAGCAAGTTTCTTTGACTCGCACTTAATCACGCTACTTGAGGTATGGATGACGTCTGCCAGTTGACGCAGAAGTTTTCTCTATCAATCTATGGCCCCACATTGATTATAACTGACTGGTGGTTGTGAAACGTATAATTTGGTCGTTATTACGCATTCGAAAGTTGTTTACAAATAATGAGAGCAGTTATTGAACGCATCTACATACTCTTTAACATTATCTTAATATTCTCGACTCAATCTCCAACTATTAATTAGACGAAACCTATATCGTGTAAGGAGAAGTAGCATCCCTTTTATACTTTTTTCCCCAGTAATTACTAAGCACAATTAGATGACCATGATATAAAACGGATTTATACCAAATACATGTCAGAACGTAGTACAATAATGTATTGAGACAAATAATGGCCAGTCTTTTCCAAATCTCAGTTAATTTTTAAAGTGGGTCACTGTCATATTTAAATTGTCAGCATTCTTATTTTTAACTTAGTATCAGAAACAGCCTAATAGAATAAAGGACATATAGACCTCAAGTATTAAATCAGTATCTTCAAACATTTCCTTGCACCTGGTGGAATAACAGAGTTAGTAATTCTAAGGTTAGGCGTAAAGCTTTAGGCAAGGTTGGAAAATCAGCTAGTTAAAATGTCAGTCTTATTCGACTGAATTGCCTAGAACATATACTTCATATGTCCAGTCACTGCTTATCTCGATTTTGCACATTGGCTAAGTTAAGAGTACATTAAACGGAAGAACAGCGATGGCAAAACCATGTAGTCACCGACTGTGAAACTAAGTCGTGCTAATTGGTTAAAGATGGCAAGTGTCACGTATACTGTTACCCAATCTGATTCGTAAAACTAACACAAAGAGTTACCGTATGATAAGGTTCTTTGGTAAAAATTCAAAGTCACATACAACGTAAGTTATGTTATTTTGTGCCAACAAACATTCCGCCAAGTAGCAGGAAGAATGCAGGTGAACAAATCGAACAGTAAATAATTATGCAGCTGTACTGTTCGCAAAAATTAACTTCGCATAAATGCTGTAATTTATTTTAAAACTGCTAATTTAGATTTATAATCGATATCAGTAGCCGGAAACAGAGATCGTCAATGTGTAGGCGTGGAGATCGTTCGATTTCATTGGAACCGTGAAACGATCTAAGACCATCATTGAAAACCTGGGAACACCGGACAGTTGAATGTAGTTAGATATTAGCATTGTGGAATGCCGTCTCACTGGTCTAAAGGTTGGGCGTTCGCGCACGACTAAAGGTCCTGGGTGCCCCCAAACGCTCTGGTATGCCCAAGAGTGGGAACAGTCTGCTTTCCCTCTCCAAATGCTCTCACATGGTCACGCGTATACAGTCACTCTCAGAGAAGTCCCACTCACTGCCTTCTCATGGAGGCGGTGTTGTTTACAAAAGTGAGGGAACAAAAGGCGAATGTCCGGCGCTTTAACCGGGTTGGTGGACGCAGAGGGTCCACCTAGGGGGTTGGAAAACTCATATTTCAAACCAATGGTGTACATGGGCTCCAGTATCCTGAAGGAACAAATGGCGTATGAACCAATTATTGGTCACCGGTCACTATGAGACCGCATCTCCTGACTTTGCTCCACCGCCTTATGGGTTAGACCTTTAGGTCGAAGGCTCTGGATGTAGTCACCTAAGGAAACCAACTGGTTCGGTTCGGGCGTCCGGGCAATACCGCAGCCCTCGTACAACTGGAATGGAGTGCGGCGCATATCTTGTCGGTGCTCCCTTGCACCAATGTTTGTGTTTAAATAAGGAAATAGGTGATCGGGGAAATATCAAGGTCATCATGTAAGTAGATTTTCAGAGTCAATCTAGCGACTAGTCCGAAGACTTGACTAATGAATTTCAGTTAGTCAGAGATTAAATAAATATTTCTCTAGACACAAAGCATATCTAAATTAAAAATAAAGCAGGAAAAGTATATATTACGAGACTAAGAATGGATTATATAACATTTTCTTACTTTTAAGAGCAATATAGTTCAAGTAATGATTATCACTGACTAGTAAATTATGATTAGCAATAACTCAAAAGTGTAAAGAATAAGTATTCTTTTAAAAGTGGTTTTCTACTCAATTTTCATCAAAGGTTTTCTTTTTATAGACTGAGTTGTTTGTCTTGCCGTCACACACCATTGTATATTTCAATGATGGAAATTGAGATTAATAGTGATCTGAGTGGCGATCAAAACCGTCCAGAACGTACTTATGAGGAACAAATACAATGTGTAGGTGTGTTCGCCCAGCCTATGGCTTCAAAAAAATTAACAAAGCGTTTGTATAAACTCGCTCGAAAAGCTAAACGCGTAAAGAAAACAGATGTCGGAATCAAAGCAATCTTAAAAGCCATTGAAAAGAAAGGTGTATCTGGTATCGTCGTATTAGCAGGTGATATTAGCCCGTTTGATCTGATATCCCATGTGCCATTGGTGTGTGAGGAGCACGACATACCTTACTGCTATGTTCCGTCAAAGTTTGACCTCGGTGCATGTGTATCTTCAGTTACCCCTATACCTATCGTTTTCATAACACGGGATGAACAGTATGGTGATTTGTATGACAAGTGTTACACTGCTGTTGACGCATTACCCCTTCCTTTATAAAATCCCTGTAATCAAAAAGCAGAATTTTTTCAATAAAAATATTATTGCACTTATTCTTCTGAACAGTCGCTCTTCGCATTACAACACGTGATAATTTTAATACTATAGTCGACATATTTTATTTGCATAACTTAATCATTATTTAGTACTGGTTATAATTTCAAGAACGCAAATTAACAGATGAACGTAAATGACTTAGCTTCATTATACTGATTTAACACTAACAAGCGTGTTAGTACTTATATAACCAAAATGTATCCGGTGCTAATTAATAAAGTTCCCGATAGGGTCAAAATCGTTGTTTGGCCATCATCTCTAGTCAAGTAGTTTATTTTTATCATTGAGTTTTCATTATTTTGCATAGTATCGGTATGGCAACTTGAACCGATGCATATACGTACCTGGTCCTACGTTGTAGATGACTGACTGACATAGTATGAATGAGGGGAAGCAATATCATCGATTAGAATTAGTAAGTAGTTTACAAATCGTTGAATGTGAGACTGAGGTATTATACCTACACAATACGCTCAATTATTTCTGTATACAAGATACTGCTACCTTTTTATTGAAAAGGTTGCCGCGTATCAGTTACCATTCTTGATGCTAGCAAAGACTTGTTAAAAGATGAAGATGATGATAAAGCCAGAATGAAGCAAGTTAGAAGAGACAACTGAATACTCCAGTTACATATTTACTTTGGCTTCTATCAACATCAAAAATATTGTCCATTTTTCGACTACTTTCAGCTCTCTTAAACGACTTTTAAAACACTTTTCTTTGCATGACTAAGAACAAACTTCCACTTACCACAGTGGATATGCATATGGGAGTCAAAACATGGCATGGGATTATGTACTGTTACTGAGTCGTATGATTTATATATTAGCTAGAGACAGTAGTCTTTTCGGAGCATCGTCTTTGGACATCCTTTAACTCCTACGTAGGTTGCCTCTTACATGTCGTACCAAATAAATTAAGTAACAAGACCTTTTAGAGGAAGAAAATCATACCGTTTAAGACTACAATTTGAGGCAGTACAAACTGGGTCTTCGTTTTTCCTCTCACCACTGAGTTATAATAATTGTCGAGTTTAACTGGGATGTAATTGTGCGCGTGGTAGAATTTATATTGATTCATCGATGTTCAGATTACACTCGAGGCAATTATTTTGAATCATTTCAGTGTGTAAATTGAATCAATCAAATAAAAACTTGTCTTTGTTCGTTATAACACTATTTAGTTCAATATAGCTGTGACTAGTTCCTTTTTGAGCATGATGTTTACATCTCACGATCGATTACATTTCGGTGAGAGTTAGTTACAATATTTTTAGTCTAGACGATGTACTAAGAAATTGGAGGACTCGTTCCAATTTATATTATTCGTAGCGATTAACATAAATATAACGCGTACTGCTGATCAGTAGTACAATCAAACAATGCTAAAGGAAGCGTAAGTATATTGCAAAAGAATAGAAAAACCTGACCGTAGTAATAAAGGAAAAACAATATAAACCATTGTTTAAGAAATCAAAATAGTTTCACAAAAGTTTTATAAAAATAAGTAAGTTTCAGTTTTTACGAACAGCTACGAGGTATTCGAGATAATAATAAAAATCACTACTTTGTGTTATTTCTGGACATCGGTACTATCATTCGAAAGTAAAGGCAAGGAGAGTTTTTCCCTGATTAGATTCTCTAAATAAAATAAGAACCCATGCACATTCTTGTAGCCTAAAACATAGTATAAAATATAAATGGGTTAAATATAAGCTAATTATCAGTTAAACAAAAAGCGAGTTAATAGGATGATAGTTTCTGTTTGATTATATTTATTATTTTTTTAAAAAGGGTGACGTTTAATTTACCCGATTACTTTAACTATAATGACCGAGACGTTTCTACAGACGTGCACAAAACACATCGGATAAAAGACCTACACAAGTTTTTTGTTCGTTGTTTCCATTGGGTAACAAACTATAAGTACCATTTCTGATCCACACCAGTCAGATCTCTACTAAAATAAAAATATCAAACATACATCAAAATATTCTAATACTTAACCCAGATAGACTCACTATAGTTAATATAAAAACATTTCACTAACTTGGAAAAATATTTAAATCGATAATAGCGTATTTGTTTGATTTCGAGAGAGCATCAGATATGGAATTTTCGGTTGCACAAATGAGATCTATCCCAAACAAATCAATTTTGAGCGTTTTTCGAACTTCATGTGCCAACATATCGAATAGGGACTCATCATATGGGGTTGTCGTTTGTTTATCGGAAAATGAACTCAACTAAAATGAAAGATGAAAACAAACTATTCGGCTCGTTTTTAGACATCAAAGTCATCAATGCCATCCATTAACTGTAGTTTTATTTTTTAATGCAATATAGTTGACGCGATGAATAAAATTTACATACTTTTTTACGAGGCGGTTTATCATGCTATAAAAACGTGTAAGTGACGGATCCCACACAACGTATGCCATTATTGCAGATAAGAAACAACCGTTGATTTCAATGTATGATCTTCCTAACCGTCTAAACAAGATATTCGGATAGGCAAAGAACTATTGAAATGTTGAAGATAATTGATAACCATGTTCTTTAAAGACACAAGACGACCAATATTTGAGACGAAATTACCAATTACATCCCTATAATTGCCATAGGATTTGAATTACTCTGACTAACATTTGATAGTAACTGGAAGAATACTACTATGTATTAAGGATATCATCTGCACCTCAATTCCCGCCACAAACCGTGGCAGATGATGGCTCACGATGCTTGATATGATATGATATATATATATATATATATATATATATATATATATATATATATACAAATTTGCCTCCTTTTCACTCCCTGACAAAACTTGGTACCTGCTCTAAGTACTTATCATACAGCAGTTCCAGTCATTACCTCAAGTCTTCTTAACTGGTTTAACTAAAAACAATACATTCTTGGCAAATTAGTAGAATGACTATCGATGTATAATATACTCGTGATTAGATAGCAATTCGAGTGTCGTACTTGTATCATAGACTGCGAAATGGGAAGTCCCAGCTAAACTTCTTGTACTTGTAGCGACATACTTTTGACCACACGCATATGATGCTTTACATTTTTGAAATGGTTTACACACTGCCACTTTATCCAGAAGCATAAAACATGTGAAAATTAGTTTCTATTTGAAACTCAGAGCTTTTTGGGAATGAGGAACTATGATATTTATCACACAAAGTAGCATAACGGTTTCATGAGGAAGTTGGTGTACGAATACTATATAATTATGATGAAAAATAGCCAAAGTAAAATACCAAGAAGACATGTTTCCAATGACTTGTCGCATTCCTGATGTAGAGGATGAAAGAGTCAGTGTAGAGTTTTTCATAACTCATATAATTGTTTAGGATGTCACCGACAAAAGCTGACCTAGTCGAATATAACATTTGGTAAATACAACTTGTGTGTCGGTCAAATAAGCATGTTTATATTTTGAAAAGCGATGAAACATAAATACTTTTACTACACAAACCTTAGGCTTTTTAAAAAACGGTTATTAAATCTTATCAAACATGGTGATCTCAATTTAAAACAACTGCGGATGGTGGGAACGATTCACAAAGTGCTGAATAAGAGTTTAATAAATGTAAGATTGTAATGAGGATTCCAGTACTTACTTCAGATAAAGGTGATTGACAACCATCCTTCGATACACTATGTGAATGAAAAAATATTGGAGTTCTATCTGCTGTGGAGTAAAAGCAACAGTGTACTTACAGATTAGTGGGAAAGAGTAAAAAATAATCACCTAAATAACATGAATCAACAAAAAAGACATCTATAAGTCATCTTTGTGAAATTAATGGGTTGTCTTTTATTTCCCAAGAAGTTAGAGGTAGGAGTTATTTATTGTTTACACTTACATTTCAGCAGATACTTATAACTAATTATTAAATCATATTCTATTGCTCCGTTAATAGTTATTAGGTGTTATCATTCTATTCAAACGCTTCGTTGTAAAACTTGGAAGATTCATGTGTGAAAGGAGAGGTTCAGTGAAGACGGAATAGATGTTATACGAAAAAAGGTTGTTTTTTTAATCATTTCAAAACAAACATTTATGAAAAGTATGTAACACCATCTGTAGAGTAAATAAACTTCAATCCAGAATATAAGAAATGTCATTAGCCAAAAATAACAACGATAAATGAGCTTAGAAACTGGGGTAACCATTAGCATACTGTAGTAACCTCACTCTAGTGAGCTCTGGGGCTATTAAGCTTTGTAAACTATTTATGATTTGTCTGTTATAGTCTTATTTTCTGAACAATTCTGCTGCTTGCTATACGTTTAATCCGCCACTCGTTTATGTCTAAAGTAAGTTAGAAGGAATCTTGTATCATGCTTCCTGAAATTAGTTTGTCAGTAGTGGCAGATTTAGCAACAGATTCGCTTCAGGAAATATACAAATTTAGTCGAGGTTTTGTTGTCAGATCTAACGCAAACTACAATAAGTTTGTATTCATAAGTTATTATGATAGCATAAACCAAATTATATGTTTCAAATTCATTTTAACCACAAGAATCTCTAATGAGATAACTTCATAATATTAAAATGAAATTTCAACATGAAAATCTTTCCAACTGGTCAAGACAATAAACCTGGAGACTGATATCAATTTTTTTATTAAAAAAAAACACGATTATAAAGTTCAATATTAAATTAGTTGCATCGGTAATTTGTAAAAGTACATTAATATAATCAAGTTAAAATGTAAGTTTATTTCTAAGGCTGAAATGAATTTTAACTGGACTCAGATTTCAAAAAAAAAAGTTATTTAAACATACAATTGGTATTGACAATGAAGAAATAGTAAAAGTTAAACAATATCTAAAGTACAAGGTTATCCTTTATTATCAGAAACAATAGTAGTAGTGTTAATTTTATTAAATATAATTAAACTAAAGAATTGATTCTTTAATCAAGTAAGAATTTTGATTATCCAAAAAAAACTTATTATTAGTATATAATAAAGTGTAACCTTAAATGAAACCATACAATGTTAAAGAGAAAAAGTAGGAATAAAGCTTAGAAAAGCCAAATCACATTTTTTTGTTTTATTTAATGTCATTACAGTGAAAGCACATTCTATGCATTTGTAGATAAATTGTCTAAAGTATATTGACAAGTTAATATCAAATACATTTAGGCCTAAAAAAAAAAGAGTGTACTTTCTAAATAGGTAATCAATGTTTCAGTATATCAATCACTTTTAGCTCAATGGTTTTTTTTATAGAAAAAATATTTAACTGCTATTCTTATGATTAAACAAACGTATGATAGATTACAAACTGTCCCTTTACTGTAATACTGAAAATAAGTTTTTCATATATTCTACGTCAGTAATTTACAGTAGTGTCATAAAAACTATTCTGAGCAGTACTATTTCTCTCACGTACTTTATTCGAAAAATAACACTTCTATCTTAAACGTATAAAGTTCAGCCATAGTACTTGAACGAATTGAATTATTGAAACAAAAAAAAATTAACAGAATATGAAGTATAGTGATGAAAATGATCTGATATTCTTATGAAGAGTTGTTAAGATAGATGGGATCTTCTAATTGTCGTTCACTCAGAATTAAAATAAACCAAAACAATTTTAAAAAGTTACTTAAGAAGGAACACCTAAAGTCGAAAAACAAGGGATTCTTTACATAACAATGGTGATAGCCAGAAACGAAATAAACTTCTTAAAAAAATTGGAAGAATAATTAGGGTTTGCTTATTGCTTAATGACTGGTTACTGAGCAAAAATGGCCACACACACTCCATAATTTTTAATATAATTTACTATTTTTATTTTGTAATTGATTCACTTGGATCTTCTATTCTGAGTTTCACTGAGTGAACTGCTTGTATTTGTGTTATTAAAGCCGTTTTCTAACCTGTAATGTAGCTTTCAATCATTGGTTGGAATCGTCTATCTGCGTATAACATGTTCTAGTCTAGTCGTCTAATTATCTAATATGGTGGTCTAGTTTATCCAGTCTTATTGTCCAAGCTTATCGAGTGCTATCGTGTTTGGTACTAGAGTTATTTTTTATTTTTCCGTTATAACGTAAAATAACACCGACTATTTGACTGCTTAAGATCAAATAAATAACACTGATGTAACTTGAAGTATAATGAACGATACTTCAAACTTGTGGTAAACTCTAGAAAAGCGTTATGGGGATAAACAAACGAATAGCGAAATTGCAGTTGTTTTGGTTTAATAATATTTATTATCTAGAGGACTCCATCTACGAAGTGATTCAAAACGACAGTCAGTCACTTCATGGATTGGTATCATTTCTTGACACGACTTCTTTTGACTGTATAGTTTTACTACAGCTAATGTTGTATACAAAAGCAGATGGCGACCTGATTACTATAAAATACATATGTATCACTAGCCAGTCAATAAATGTAGATGCAATCACATAATCTATGACTGATAGCAAGTATATTGACAAAAATCACAGAAATATTCTTAGATATAAAAGTGAGATAAATAACAACTCAATATTCTAATTATGTTATAATTTATCTGTAAGTACCTACTACACTTGTCATTAACCATACGTGATACAAAAGCAGGTGACTCGAAATAAGGCCTTTTACTAAAACACAATCAAGTAAACATATACAATGATATGGATTGACTATATTTATATACCCGATTCATTTGTGTGAATGTTTTTCTTAGTAATTATTTTTATCCTTATTATATTTAGAAAAACTTAACCATTGGTTCAGATGCTCGAATTAAGTTCCATTTACTTTGGCTTCAATAACCAATTCGGCCTATTAGGTTCAATACAAAGATTATGATTGAGCCTGAATACGTAAACCTATACTACTGGATAGTGTTCGTCTACATCTAAATGATGAACAGATATAACTCATACATAAACCAACATATCAAATTTTTCATAACATATAATGATAGATGCAAACTTACCAGATTTGTCGTGATTTTTGATGGAAGGAACTTCAGTAACACAACTATGATCACCGACTACAAATAATTTAAGAACTTTTCCATTATGTTTAATAAATTGCTGAACAAATATGGGATATGTTAAATGATCTAGACCTGAGTCATTGAAAACAATAGCTATCTAAATAGAAAATCATTTAAAATGATTAAGGAAAACTAGAGAAACTAGGATATAAGTACAATATGAGTTTAAATGCAATCAACTAGTTCACCCATGAAAGTAAGTAATAATATTTTAGTTTTTGTTATAGTATATTCTTGAGAAACAAAGGTTTCGGATAGATATCCGTGATGACACTGTTGATTAACAGCTGTCAACCTTATGTTAGATTACAACTACACTAATAGTAATTTACACCTATTAAATTATTAAAAACCTCACGATTTGAGAAAATATAGAGTATATGTGCACCGCTGCGGTTAGCTTGGATCGAGTCACCAAACTTTTCCGAGCTCTAACTTACAATACACTGAAAATCGTATCTAGAAGGCCTACGATACCTTGCACAACGATGACTAACAGTCAATTATTTCGCAGACTGATCCCATATCTCAGTCTACCCACTCCAAGTTGGTTTTTATTCTAACCGTAATTCAAATAACATCCCATCACTCAGTCATCCCCGACAGTGCAGATAAATGACATCATCAACTGGTCTACCCCCTTTGCAATGCTAAACAGAGCCGTAGCCAAGCCTGTAGTTTTTGTGTATTTTCCATCTTCAACAACTATGTCACACAGTTAAAGAAGACTGCTACGTACTGCATTCCATTTCGAATAAATAGAAATATATGCTTCCTGTAAGTAGTAAATTTTGGTAGGAACTAGATCAAACACTTATATTCATGCTGGAACATTTTCAGTAACCAACTTATTAGGTGATCTGACTCCTCAAATAAATAACAGTTTCAACTACATTGATCTATATTGACGAACTAAGCGTAAAAGTAAATAAATCTCAGAAAATTATCATGAATTTTATAAATTTATGTCAAGGAACTTAAGAGATCTTGTCAATGATTTCGCATGGGAGAACTATGTCGCCTACCTACTCTCGATCGGCCAGAGGATCCCCGTGGATGAGAATAGTCTCAAGAAAGTCTAAACATGATATACTCAATTCGTTCACGAGTAAACTTGGACAGGAGTCGTGAAAGCGAATATCCACGATGAACGCCGCTTGTTGTCGTCACCTTGAATGAACCTCGAGGAATTATTACACAAGTGTGAGTTCGAACAGTGCCGTGATTGACATAACATATCGATCTACTGCTTCAATTCAAAGATTGTCACACAGTTTATGGCAGGTGTAATGCCTCACTAACCATTTATGTGTTAAAGAACTTGATGAACAATGAAAACGTGATCAATTCACCTCATAGATAACTGAAACCATGAAAATTTTCGTGAGTTTTATGTTCTTGAAAATATGCTATTTGGTGGTCATATACAGATTACCGTATTAGACTACAAGTTACAGAAATCATATAACCGCCAACGATATTATCCGGCTCTTCAAATTTCAGCAGATATATTATAGTTTGAACCCGTGACTTAGTAAGTAAGAATTGATTACGTAAACTGTTCAATCTAAAATTACGTAGTTGTAAAAGTAAACTATGAAAACATCACTTTTTTTATAGATGCGCTAACGGAAGTAACAATGCAGTCACTGAATCCATCTCTTATTATTGCTTTTGCAAAAGTGGAAAATAACTGTGTATATTTACATCCCTACATTATGATAAAAAATATTATGGTGTAGTGTGAACGCTGTTTTTGGTGATACAATTGCTGGACAGTAAAATATTTTTTCTTCTCATCATTAAGATAGATAAAATTGAATTATCATCATCTAGATTTTATTTATTTATTTTAATACATAGATAATGGTACAAAGAAGCACCAAATATATATGCGCCACACAAATCTCATTCGATATGTGTGAGGGCTGTGATACTGTCCGGGTGCCCACACCGAAGCAGGTGGTTTTCTTAGGGGGCCACTCCCCGAGCCCTTGACCTAAAGGTCTAACCCACAAGGCAGTGGAGCATCGTAAGGAGATGCAGTCCCATGGTAACCGGTGACCGAAAATTGGTTCATACGCCATTTGTTCCGGCAGGATACTGGAGCCCATGTGCACCATTGGTTTGGGATCCGGTTAAAGCGCCGGACATTCGATTTTCGTAAACAACAACCCCGCCACGAGAAGGCAGTGAGTAGTACGTGGCCATGTGAGAGCATTTCGAGAGGGAGAGCGGACTCTCCCCACTCTCGGCCGTACCAGTGATTGAGATACACGTCCTTGTTAAGGAATCCAACTGACAAAACCAAGATGAACATTATTTCATATCATTAGCCTAACTAAACTAAACAACGTAGATAGCCGATATGCTTACGTTCTATAGCGTACATATTTTATCTGCTACCGGAGTAATTAGCTGTACCGTTGATAATGATGATATTGAAGAGCAAACTTATAAAATTTCCTGTTCGGATTTATAAAAAATACTTGTAAACCTAGAGAGTAATGTGTAGCAACACTAAGAGACTCTAGATTACATGTTACTTCTCATAAATAGTCTGAAAGATAATTATAAGCGAGTGACATAAAACAGAGATACACAATTGCAATGTAAATGATACCCGCAGACTAATAATAGATTTGTCTTTACAGTGTACTATAGCTAATACGATAAAACGACTGGTGATCGAGATTATACTATCATTAGACTGGATATTCGATCCATGGGTTATACACAGATGGGTACACATCAATAAAGAAAAAGAGCCGTAATAAAACCGGATGAACTCTCCATAATTATGATAACTTCGATCCTGAAGTATAAGGTGATCACAACGAAACCAGTAATAATCCATAGCAAAATTTATAATCTAAGTGTTTTCATGCTAAATTTGGCTGCGTTTGAACAAAAAGTTATCAGATGACACTGTCTGTTTCTGTTACCAGTAATGTAAAAAAAACGGTGTTCCCCAAAATACGCAACATTAATGCTTTAAATTTCGATCCATTAACAACTACGTCAAGACTGAAAAATCAATTTCAGTTAGTAAAATTGAACAATATTATCTAACACACAAACAACGTGACTCATAGCTTAACAATGCGTATAGTTTATCTTTCGCTCTGCTCCGTTAATATATCTCGTTGTTACGGATGTAACAAAAATGATACCTGAATTCCAAAGGCATTCACCAATTTTTTATCCATCTTAAACAAACGATGAGTTTTGTTTTATCATTTTTATTTTTTTTCAAGCGTATGATAGTATTTTCTGCAAGGCGTTTTTTTAAATATTAACTGAGGTAGATGGGAGAAACTCGAAAGTAGTTAGACTACTATTTACAGATAATTTATGCATTCATACTATCTAAATTAAGTCGTCTAGAGAACTAAAAATATTTAATGAAAGAGATGTATGTGAAAACAATAAAAAATGTATGAGGTCCTAAAGTGCCATGATGACAGACTAGAATGGCATAGTAGCGTTGCTTCTAATCATGCACTTAAAAGATAAATATTTCTCTGTTTCTGTTATATTTATTCCATTCTTTTCGTCTTTTTGATCTGTTGAATTCACTAAACTTCTTTCTTTGTAAGATATAAACGTATGACTACTAGAATGAAGTACCATCCCATTATCTCTCTCATCATTTCAGCAAGTTTAACAAAAACTTACTGTTGATGAAAACTATTTATATCAGCTTGAATTCTAACATTTACAGTTTAGGCAGCAATAACCGCATAACGGAAACAGAAATACTTGTAGTGTCAGTTATTATTTTAAGCCTATAAATATCGGTTAACGCCTGACTAAAAATGAGTTGGCTTACCAGCCATCTCCGCTCTGCGTCGCTTCTCTTCCTTCTATTCCATTCATCTCATATACAAAATATATGTATTCAAAATCCCATTCTCGTTATTTGACTCATTTAATTCCGTTATTGGCTAACGTGATTTAAGTCGACGATTAAATACGAGAATAGGCAATAACAAACAATCGTACGATCTAAATAGGAGTCAGATCCACGGGCCACTAAATACTAAGAATCAAATACGATTTGATCGCAAGATTAATTTGTAGGTATATACCCATTAGGTGAGATGGGAATAAATTTGCTTTAGAAGGATTAATTTTGAAGAGTTATGTTATAGTTCAACACTATCAATATTCAACTAATATTAAACCATATTGCAATGGCGGAACAATCTTGATCTGCAAAAAAGAGTGGAGGAACTCATACCTAAATGGCAGCAGAAACAAATGAATGTCAATGGTCAAATAAGATCACACGATAGACAGATATCTTCCTCTATTGCGAAACACTTGGTTGAGACTGGTCATAAGGTTGATATCAAATCAGCATTTGTAGTGTTGTACAAAAGCCTTCAAGGGTGTATGGAAGCCTTAGCTATACGGAAACTGAAACCCCTTTATATGTTCAAAAACAATTTGTTCTTACCCTTAACCTACCCTGTTAATACTGATTTATTATCAAGAGTGGTTATCACATTGTTTTTGTGTACTTTATTTTTCTTTGCGGCTTACCCTTAACCTGTCTAGTTAACCTTCAAGTTGTCATGTAAAAATGTCTTAACAAGTATATGTGTGGTTAGAGTGTTCGAAATGTATTGAGCAAATATATCACGTAATTGATGTAACGAATAAGTGGGTTTTAACAACAATTGCTCGAAAACGATTAACATTTTTAATAAGATAATTCCCTATTTTTAAAAACATTCAGATAACAGTAAATTTCATGGATACTGACTATTTACGTGTATGACGTGAGATTAGTTAGTATAGTGAATTAAATTAGCGTACAGAAGAATTCAATTCATCAACTTACATACCCAAAAGTGTTTCAATAATTCCAGTGTAGCTCACTGTTTCCAAAGCTTCTCTACACGAATTATCATGATTGGTACTGATATATATATATAAACTAATGGTTAAAGGTATTAGTAACTTTATGTGCGGAAATAAAGCACAATCAGCAGAAATTTAACGGAAAATTGCATTCTCTGATAAATCGAAGTAATTGGACATACTGAATAAAACCAACGTACCTTATGTACATTGTCATTTCCATGGGCCATTAGTGACTTGCAAACTATAGATGAAAATCAAATTTCAAATATATCATACATTCAAATTATCGGTGAAATAAACATTTAAATGAATGATAGAATACTAGATTAGATCAGCCAAGAAAAAAATAAAGGGATGAAATGGTTGCAGTTGAAAGAGTACTGCCAGTCATGACTTCGTAAATTTAGTTCTAGTTATATTGAAAAGCATTAAGAATTAGATAAAATTCTCCTTGCGCCGACTCACTTTGCTTGAGTGAGAACTAGTAAAAAAATACATGGCAAGGAATTTAAAATGTTTGGTTTTTAAAGAATATATTAAACAAGGTGTGACTGTGCTATCAAGAACATCCAATACGCTTAATATCAACATGATAGACACTATCTAATGGATCCTGGTCGAGAAGCCCGAAATTCTTTAACAAATCACTGTAACTGAAAATAGCTGAAATATTGTGAAAAGCCAGAACCCTAACTTCTGTTTCAGCAATAAAAATGTTAGTTAACAAACAAAAGACAAAAACATACTTAACCGAGCAGTAAACACATTAAGATTTGTAGTTCCCGATGACAGCTTAGCATACTGCATCTTGACACTTTATATTACTGATGATGAAGTTACATAATCTGGTGATGTCGATGGAAAAGCACCAGTGTTCACGGAATACAGAAATAGGTAAGCATACTCAAAGTTAGTGAAATCCTGGAAATCAGCAACACTAAAGACTAGTGAGTTTTTACCGTTACTCCGAAGAAGCGCACACTTCTTCGATGTTCATTCGTTTGGGAAGCAATCAGAAGATGACAATTTTCTGCACTTATTATGAAACATATTTCCTACTTGGTTGAATTACCTTAGCATCCTTTTTGACGTTGTGTGCAACCAATATCATCTTTAAACTACTGGCAGAAAGATTATCAAGCGTGACGATTAATTCTAGCACATACAAATTTTCATCCTATCATTTTAACATTAATGAACACTTAAGAATAAAATTGAAAGACAGTGATACGAAATATATGGTACATCATATTTAATTTTTAGGGAATTTTATATGGAAATTAAAGACGATCACCGAAATAATTAAAACCATACTATTGTTAGGGACGATTTAACTATGAGGTAAAAACTTTCTAAGCTATTTTTCTACGATTTTATCTATATAAATTGATAACACTTTTATTAAGCAGTTTGGTTCGCTTATTTCCGTATTACCCTAGTCCCAAGCTTTTATTTGAACCATAAATTGCTATTATAGCATTTTCCACTCATAAACTAGAAACAATTATTTGTATACACAGTACTCCATTTTTCCTATTAATAATGTTGCTATTTTTGTTAACACTGCTACTCAATTAGTCTGCTGCGTGGGCTGGTCTTTTATGTATATAAATGAATGTCTGAAATACAGTGCTCCCGAATGCCCTGGTACGACCGAGGGTGGGGACAGTCTGCTTTCCCTCTCCAAATGCTCTCACATGGTCACGCGTATACAGTCACTCTCAGATAAGTCCCACTCACTGCCTTCTCATGAAGGCGGTGTTGTTTACAAAAGTGAGAGAACAAGAAGCGAATGTCCGGTGCTTTAACCGGGTTGGTGGACGCAGGGGGTCCACCTAGGGGGTTGGAAAACTCATATTTCAAACCAATGGTGTACATGGGCTCCAGTATCCTGAAGGAACAAATGGCGTACGAACCAATCGTTAGTCACCGGCCACTATGAGACCGCATCTCCTTACGAAGCTCCACCGCCTTATGGGTTAGACCTTTAGGTCGAAGGCTCTGGGTGTAATCACCTAAGAAAACCACCTGCTACGGTTTGGGCGTCTGGAGAGAATCCCAGCCCTCACACAAATCGATTGATTTATGAGCTGCACATCTATTTGGTGCCTCCTTGTAACAATGTTTGTGTTTAAATAAATAAATAAAATAAAAAACTGAAATATCATAACGATCTTGGACTGGCGATAATTGGTTTTGAGTTTTTCCTCTTCGTTCGGGGTTAGTTATTATTGGGCCAACCATCAAGCATAGAGTACCAGGCGGCCCGGGATTTCAAGCCCCCGAATGCCCTGGTATGGCCGAGAGCGGGGTGGGTCCGCCCTTTCTCTCGAAATACTCGCACATGGCCACGCGTATATATCCTCTGCCAGGAAAGTCCTACTCACTGCCTTCTCGAGACAAGAGTGTTGTTTACGAAAATAAGAGGACGAAAATCGAATGTCCGGCGCGTTAACCGGATCCCAAACCAATGGTGCACATGGGCTCCAGTATCCTGCGGGAACAAATGGTGTATGAACCAATTTTCGGTCACCGGCTTCCATAGGACTGCATTTCTTTACGATGCTCCACTGCCTTGTGGGTTAGACCTTTAGGTCAAGGGCTCGGGGACTGGCCCCCTAAGAAAACCACCTGCTTCGGTGTGGGCACCTGGGCAGTATCACAGCCCACACGCAAATGATGAACTCTCTAAATCTATGGAAACTACTTTTCTCGCTTCGAATAACAATCAAATGATTCAAATTACTATCATTACAATGATTGTTATTATTACTATTATTATTATTATTATTATTATTATTATTATTTACTACATTATTCACCCTCTTTTATTCCTACTGTCTATACTTACTTTTTCGACTTATACAGCAGCTCGTCTTTGGTGGAAATTCGACTCTATCTAAACGTTCTCGAGTCACTGTCCGGTTGAAAATTATATGTTACCACCGTATATGAGTACTGAAGCAGTTTTTCTGAAACCACGTGCGCCATTCAAACTGGCTGTCTTCAACGTTCGCACACTTATGCAGGTTGGACAACAGATAGGGCTGGATATGTCTTTAGAAAGTCTTAATATCGATGTCTGCTGTCTATCCGAGACCCGTATTCAAGACTCTGGTGAAGTACTTCAAATTCGCTCTCCATCTGTCGCTTCGAAAAGCTTGTTTTACGTGCGCTTATCCGGGGACCCTGTGGCATCTTCATCTGGTCTTGCAGGCGTTGGTGTCGCACTAAGCGCTCGAGCTGAGGCAGCACTAGTCGATTGGATCCCCATTAACAGCCGGTTATGTGCTGTTAGATGAGAGAGTTCCATCAAAGTGAGAAGAAATCGGCGTGAGAAACTATGTCTTTTCGTCATCTCCGCCTATGCTCCGACAGATTGTAGCCCGAATGCAATCAAGGATGGGTTTTTCCACCAGTTATCCGTTCTTCTCCAGAAAGTGCGTTCGACAGATATTGTAGTACTAGTCGGAGACTTGAATGCTCAGGTCGGGTGTCTAGGCACAGAAGAGAGTCGTTTAGGTGGCCGATGGGGGCTTATTGGTCGCAGGACAGTTAACGAAGACCGTCTACTGCAACTATCCACAGACCACAACCTGTTTCTGGCTAGCACTAACTTTCGGCACAGTCATCGCCGATGTGCCACCTGGCGTCCTCCCTCTGCATCCCAAGCCTGGACTCAGATTGATCACATCGCGATCAGCTACCGCTGGCGTGGTTGTGTACAACACTGCCACTCCTTTTGGAGTACCTATCTGGACTCTGACCATGTCTTGGTCTGCGCCAATCTTGCCTTACTTTTCAGTGGACAACGAAGTGAACGCCATCAACGGATTGATGTTAGCAAGCTGGTTGCAACTTCTGTTGCAAATAAGTATCGAACCGAGCTAGCCTCTAGGCTAGCTACCACTCCACCGAAAAGTATAGATGAGCATTGGTTGCAATTGCATGACGCCATGAAAATGGCGGGAACAGTCAGTTGTGGGTTCGTGAAACGTCCTGCTCATAAGCGTTGGGTTTCTTCTGGTTCCTTACAACTCATTGAAGCCCGTCGGTCTACTCCGGGTGACCGTGAGTTTGACCATAAACGAAGGATGTTACGTAAGGAAATTGGGCAAAGCTTGCGTAAGGACCGAGAAGCCTGGTGGTCGAAGCGTGCTAATGAGCTGGAAGCAGCAGCTGTATCTGGTAATTACCGGAAGCTCTTCCAACTCATCCGAGCCACTGGCAGCAAGACGTCTGGTGTGAGCGAAGCAATCTACGAGGATGATGGGATGCCAATCACTAACATCCATCGACGTCTTGGACGGTGGGCAGAATTTTTCGAAAGGCAGTTCAACTGGCCTGCTGCTCCGGCAACATCGGTCAGACTGTCCTGCCCTCCATAGCTGGTGACGACTGATCCACCTAATGAGGCGGAATTCCGCAAGGGACTCCAACTCTTGAAGCGCTACAAATCACCTGGCCCAGATGACTTACCTCCGGCCCTTTTTAAAGATGGCGGTGGCTTTCTGCGTAAGGAATTGACGACGTTGTTTACAAAGGTTTCGGAACTAGAGAGTGTACCAACGTCATGGAATGAGTTGATAGTTGTCCCTATCTTTAAAAAGGGTTCACGTCGTTCCTGTAACAACTATCGAGGGATAAGTCTACTTCCGATTGCGTCCAAGCTATTGGCTTCCTTCACAGTTCGTAGGTTGTTCAAAACAGCTCTGATGGATGTAAGTAATGGCGGTGTGGATCTGTTGCCTGGAGAAAGACCTCTCGACCTTGAGTATGCGGATGATATTGTCTTACTGTGCGACAATGCCCAACCCACGCGATCCGCACTTAATCAGTTGGCAATCAGTGTCCGTAGGTATGGTATGTGCTTTGCACCTTCGACGTGCAAAGTACTTCTACAAGACTGGCAGGATCCTAATCCTGTACTCACCCTGGATGGTGAGCAGTTAGAAATAGTCGAGAAGTTCGTGTATCTAGGTAGCTGCATAAATGCTGGTGGGGGTGTGAGTGATGAGATCAATGCACGTATAGTGAAAGCCAGAGCGGCTTATGCCAATCTGAGCCATCTTTGGCGCCTTCGTGATATTAGTCTGGCTGTAAAAGGTCGGATCTACAACGTGTCGGTGAGAGCAGTTTTGCTCTATGCTTGTGAAACCTGGCCTCTCCGAGTTGAGGACGTTAGACGACTCTCTGTGTTCGATCATCGCTGTCTCCGAAGGATTGCTGACATTCAGTGGCAACACCATGTCAGTAATGCAGAGGTTCAGCATCGTGTGTTCGGGCACAGAGATGATAACTCAATTGGTGTCACCATCTTGAAACACCGACTTCGGTGGCTTGGACATGTTCTCCGAATGTCGTCCCAGAGAATTCCACGCCGTGCATTATTTGCCGACTCTGGGACTGGTTGGAGAAAGCGGAGAGGTGGTCAGTGCATGACATGGTGTCGTGGTATGAAAGAAAGCTGCAAAAGGCTGGCTTGTGTCGGTCCTTCACGACTCCCTGGTTGGGGTCCGAGAGATGATGCTACACAGTGACTAGAGACGTTATCAGGTATGGCTCGGAATAGAAGCCAGTGGCGATCCTGCTGTAACCTTCTTTTACCTTCTTCATAAGAAGTGGTTGTGTCTCCCTTAACTGAAAGATTTCTTCTGATCGTACCTTTCCGTTCCCTCATTATTACTATTATTATTGCTACACTACCTTACACCAACCTCTTCGTTATTGTTCTCTTTTTTTCAGGCTCCTTACCTTTTTTTCTTTCTCTTCGAATTCTCATTGTTTTGTGTGGCGCATATGTATTTAGCGCATTCTTGTACCAATATTTATGTGTTCAAATAAATAATCAGCCCCCCCTCGTACTGGTTGCTGATGGTCGTCTACGTGTGTTGTTCGGTTACAGGATATAACAAATACAAAAAGACAAAAATATCGTACGGTGTAGAAAGAATACCAAACTGTCACACCTCCCCTGACAATAAATATATATAAAGGATTATTATAACTGGAATAGGCTCTAAGTGTGAACTAGTTGTTTTAGAGGACAAAAAGGAGACTCATATTCCTTAATGGTTGGGTCTTCTAAAAATTTAAACATTCAACCTTGATGATTTCTACATAAGTTTAAAAATATGTTAAGGTCAATCCTGTGACATATTAAATGATTCGCTACCAAAATCATGACTGCTTAGCATCTGTCCTTAGCACACCGCTAAAACCAACTCCGTATTATTACTTCACTTCCAAAATTTATGGAAAGAAATGCTTTTTTTAAACAACATAGTATCCATTATGAGATCAAAACTGAATTTTTCGTGAACTGTAAAACGTTCTACCATATTTTACCATCATGCTGAACTCAGACCCTATGACTTGTGGAAGAAAAACAAGTCAACACTTAAACGAATAAAGAAAGGCATAATCCTGTGATGATAACTAATTCTAAGCCCGGAGAAATTTCGCAAATCAGGCTGTACAGACAGAACCAAGTTTCATCAAGTTAAGGAATGCTAACGATTCGCAAATCTCGAAAATCACAAGACCTTACAGTGGTAATAGAGACTTACTAAAAACTCACAAACCAATAATTTACTAATTAGGACTCCACATTTTCGCATTCAACAAAGACGTTTCACATCTTATCGCTATTTCAAATGCAAAACAGCAGGAAGTTGCTGTTTAGCAAATAACGAAAGCACATTCTAAAAAAGAGGTACTTGTGTTGATTTTCCTCTCTTCCCTAAAGTACATCATAGTTTCGGTTAGTAAATAATATGACAAGGGTACTACCAGGATATCCTTAAAACAAAAATAATAAATCTACGTAAGTAAAGACATTGACATTCAAAATTTAATGTGTTGGCTGGTAACTAAATATCACAATAAAAGGTACATATTCGAGGTATCATTTTACCCACTGAAAGTTCGAAAGCACATTCAATATTAATTTCTATATGTCTGAAAAGCGACATGTTTGAAATGGAATCATATATACTATTGATAACATATACATCCTCTACACTAGTCAAAGGATTGCATAACTAGTTATGCTTAGAAGAACTATTTGTGAAAAGTTGTTGCTACGGTCACGATTATCAGTTACGAAAACAAAAACGGCCGAATAAGACAAGTTTTGTAAAGATTCTTGATTTGATAAATAAAAATGGTTACGTTTCCGAATGTTGCGTGACCGAATGGGTTTAATGTAGATGACTGCAACATAGAGGACGCAAGTTTATGTACAAATCCTCTTTCTAGAAACATTTTATACTACGATCAAACTGAAAACTCAAAAAGGACAAAAATATTAAACGAAAGTTTTGATAAATTTTACAAGTTTCGAAAAAGAAAATTTAAGGTTTTCATAATTAGAATAACATGACTTGTGACCGAACCTCAAAATATGGGTTGCTGTAATTTAACAGTGAAATAAAGAGGGGAAAATAAAACTTCCTTAAAATGGGAGTTTGACTATTATGACTGCGACACTTTCTACATGATCTAGAAACAAGTGAATCAAGATGGGCAGGCATTAGCACTCAGAAAGCTGCCTTATTATTAGTTGCTTTTATTAGTCAGATCACAATAGTAATAAAGTGTGTTACTGAAAACTGTGGCTTAGTAGCCAAGAAATAATTACATCTCAGTGAACTTTCCTAACATACAGAAAGGATACCACCAGTGTCTAAACGCTATAATTTTATCTGGAAAGTGGTATTAAGTGCTCAAGGTGAAATTTAATAGCGGTGACAATGAAAACTACGTGACAATTCTTTCATACAAAAAGGGAGGAATAGTCAACTCCCAACTGGATTATTATGTATCATGAATAGCGAGTACCAAACTGATATTAAACTTTAACACGACTATTTCTAAAGAAGAAGTGAATAATTTCCCCAAACATTCAACGCACTCTTGAAAAATTATCATACTGCACAACGTCTTACAATTTAGCTACACAATATCACAAAATTTCAGTAGCTACAAAGCAAACACCACGACTGACAATAATGATCATGCATATAAGAAATATTTCACTTACCTATAGGGTAAGAAATACCAGCGTCACATAATTTTGTAGGGTCTTTTTGTGGTAAGAGGCAAAATTTGGGCACAAATATTTCATTTCCTGTTGAATTAATGAAAAAATAACTAGGTTTCAGAGAACATGAATTACATTGTGAACTCGTAAAACTTATCAAAAAAAGGGAAAAATGATCGTAATCAGTAAGGAACATTATAACAAGAAGTATGAACATTTGCAGCTGAGTTTGACAAACTTAATTAAAATACAGAGAAGCACTAAATCTGAGTTTATTAGATATTTTTTAAATCAATCTGAGATTTTTGGGAAGTTTCATTAGTGTATTGCTATAAGGTAATGGGAAATAGAAACCCTGAAGACCAAGTGCTTAACAGGGTAAAAGGACAGATATGTACTGGAACTTTTGCACCATATATGGATTGTTACAATAGGATTTCAGACACTATTGGGAGGCTATGATATTACTCGATTGCCTAAATTAATTACATAGAGCAGTGCCCAGCATTATCGATACAAATCCGTTTGTTTGTTAAATATCACAAGAAGTATTGCAACACAACTTTTAAAAAACGTGTTGTACAACAGAAAGCCAATATCCTCAAATATGGTGTGGTGTAAGTTCTTACGAAAGCATTCGTGATTAATAATGGTGAATTGTGAGAACTTAAATAAGTGTGCAACAGGATATACCTGAGATTCATACATAAATTAGTGGTCATTAGGACGAATGTTTTTAAATCTCCTAGTACTTTTTTTAAAATTTGATAGGTATGTGATATAGGTGGTCAGCGAAGAAACCCAGGTACCATTTAAAGGTCAATTTTCCACCGGCACAAGAGAATTGTAAACACCGACTTTGACTCAAATATATACAAACAAGTTCATGAGACTTTATTATACTCCTCATCTGCTCCACATAAATCATAATAATTCAAACAAGTGAAAATTACGATACTTACTTATATCCGACATCGCTACAATGTCTCGGAGCAAAGAAAACTGATTAAGACGTGTTAACAAACACTTGAGTGACATTGGTGAGTCTATGAATAGAACATGAGGATTACTTTTTGCATAGTTCTATGAAAGATCAGTAAAACAAGTAACTGTTTATTTACGACAAAATTTTCTATAATTTTTCGACTCTGTTTACTCGAATCCCCGCTCAAAAATTCCGGTATTTTGTGAAGGATTACGTCAAACGGTCCTTGTTCCGATACACTGATACACGGATTGATCTACGTTTTCACTTTTTAGACAAAAAATTGGCAAAAAAAACCTTTCTAAATAGAAGATCACTTCTGCGCTAACTCAGATCATACACTAAATAGCCATTTACCTCTTCTCGCGTAAAAGAGTATTAAGCCCGATGCTGTCTACTTTAGAATCACTCATCCAGACACCAACGACCTTCATTTCAAAATACCTCACAGCTAATACCTAGTCCGCATTGGGTGTAGGACAACTCTAATGTCACAAACGAAGTTAAGTTCAATATCCAATAACATTATTACAAACTAGCGCCAATCAAACAGGTTTTTATAGCTCATCGCATTACGAACGGAAAGTTTCGTCTAAACATGATCTCGTTTCTCGAGCTTTCACTGTATTCTTACTCAACAAGAGCACTATTTTCATCCAACGAATCCATCCTGAGCTTAACGTTCGGTAGATTCTCTTTCTTTTTGAGTTTTACCTAAGTAAATAGTTGACTATGCTTCTGCCTCAGCTTAATACCCGGTTTTTCAGCCTTTCACGTCAAAGTTAGTTTTAGTGTATCCTAGCCGTTTGTATCACTCGTTTTTATCCATTTTATCCGTTGTGAGTGTATTGTTCCTTTTGTTTAACGGTCGTAAACTTTTGCTAAGATCTATCAAAGAAGTCGTATCACCACAATAATGTATAATTCATGCAAGCGATCCGGGCGCTGTTTTGCTGTAACTTCTGGCAAATAGTGTGACAAATGCAAATGATGTTTCCACGAAGCATGTACAGATCATGCAGTAACTGCTTACAACGGAATTGGTAAGTCGGATCGTAGGTGAGTATATGACTCGTGAAATATGAATACTGGGGATTCGCTAAGCAACATCATTCTCCCGACAGGTCTGCTGAAAAAGTTGTAAGCAAACATGAAGAAAGGTATGCCTTAAACGGGCAAACGAAGACGCTCAGTGAGGAAATGAACAGGGACCTCAACAATTTTAGTATCGAAAGGACGTGCATCGATACTAGTAAGGACATGCTGAGACTCAGCACTGTCATAACTTCTATGGGACTAGGCTCCCTCAGAAACTTGCGTCTCCCAGTATAGGACCCCCAAATGCAATGGTGGTCACTAAAAACTCTGTAGGCGACTGAAACCCCTCCAACAAAGTTAAAAAGGATAGGGTGTCACCGCCCATGAAGCAGAACATCCCAGGAGGTGTAGTGTAATCGACTGGTGATTTGACTGTACAGTTTACCGCTAACATAATTCAACCAGTCAGCAAGAAGTACGAGAATGTGAGACGCATTTCAACTACCAAGTAAAACTGTCCTCAACCTGAACGTATCCGAAAACCTGGGAAAATGATCACGTTTCACGGTTATTCTGTCACAGGCATGAACCTAAAGACAGTTCTGACTTTCATCTCACTCTGCAGGACAAAAATGACAAGATGCGCTGTGGAAATTTAAGTAGTTAGCTCAAACATCACAAAATAGAGCCTCTAACGGTTACATGGCTCACTCAGTTGAACGACTACAGGCGCTGAAACCTCCCAAGATTCCGTCGTGTAGCGTTCACTAACACTGAAGACGAAGAGGATGTTCTGCTGACTAAACATTTTCTATAATCAAACAGGGACGTATGAATATAGCCTGATATGCCGTACTCTGAGCACAATCTCATCAAGAACATTCTTAAGGAATCGCACAAGATGTTTATTGCGGAAGAAATATAATTGTGCATTATGTGCCATGAAACACGGACCCTGACCAAATAGCCTCTGATATTAGAGAGTGTAAATTCATCAAGCTGTCCTTGAGGCTGAAAAATATTAAATCAACAAGTGGTAAGACTAGCCGATAGGAACGGGGATTCTAGACATTGGCTGATAAAGATGACCTTCATATCTTATCATATGGCGCCTGCAACCCTCGAAGTATTTCGTGTCAACAGACGCCGGTTGCCAACTGGAACTCATATGTATTCGGAAAAAGCTCATGATGTTAGCGAGTTAGAGCTGACTATTCCATTTGTGGACCGTCAAGACCATGAAAGAACGTAGAATGGACAAAGGTTACCAACTCGGAAAAACTTGTGTAGGTGGGTTACCTGTCCATTCACATAGGGCTCATACAGGTAAATGTAAGATCATACGTTTCAAGTTGAAAGCATAAACTGCTAATATATGAATGCCACGAGTTTATCGATAAAAGGATAAGCTTCATGAACTCAGTAATACTAACAATGCTCATGTGATAAGAATATCTGAAACATGGATATCTTCCCAATACACAGACTAGTAGCTAGTAACACCCGGGATGTCTCTACTTCGCGACGACAGAAAAACATGAATGTAACGTGAAGTATACTTTTATTTGCAACCCTGATTGGAAATACATCAAGTGCACAACCACGAGTTTATCAATCTTCCTGAATCTGTGTGGCGCTCAGTAAGATTGTCAACCACCTCGAGGTGTCTGGTCGGAAGCCCACTACTAACATGGAGTACGACAAACATATGCTGGAAGTACTGCCCCGTCCTACTCGACCCAGATTCACTCATATTCTGATTCTAGGGGAACACCACTTTTAAAGTCAATTTCGTGAAACTTAAATACATTGGAGTTTGCAACTCTACTGAGGCCCGATTCTTCGAAAGTGTCACGTCAGCGACTCGTTGGAGAAACAGTCATGCGCTGTCAAGCGTAGACTGCGTATCTACAAACGAAAAATTTGTAGTTGACAACTCACTTCTGACTCTCCTAGGGGAAAGCGATCAAGCTCTCAGCCTTCAGTTTTATCAGAAAAACTGAGTGAAGACATCCTACCGTCAACAAGCGCTGGACGTTCAAACGGTCAGATGTGTCAGCTTAACGGGACAATTTACAACCGGCGAACATAGCAACCTGTTATACATCACTGGCGAAATGACGAAAGTTTGTTGCTTTTTCGCAAACCCAATCATTGAATTTTCGTTGTTGCAGATGTTTCTATGTCAATTATTGGTATAGACCTGCAACAATGCCGTAATCTATTGGACAACATGAGCAAATGGAGGTTATTAGGCGTTAGTGCTTAAATATCCTTTTGCGTGACTTTTTCCGGTTTTAGATTACCACCCAGTCACATTAACTCACATGATCTATCAATACTATCAGCAAATACTCGTCATGTCTATATCAAATGCGACAGAAATTACCATGTGTAATCAGCTATGTTACACATCACATCAAGACCACAGGACCATCTGTATTTCCATAATTAGCATTCTGCAAAATTCGGGTAATAAATCTAGACTTGCGAAAACTAGTAAATGAAATGTCGAGCTGCTCAGTCCATCATTGAAAAACCAAAGCCTATATCGTGTAGATACAGCTATAAAAGTTAAAATTATTCCGCGGACTTCATTAAAGCTGTCAGCTAAACCGCTCATGCTTCATAAAGGTCCACCACACTTTATCTTGAATAGCAAGTGAAAAATTAGTTGTGATACAAACACATTCGGTTATTCAATAAAGTGAAATATGTAGACTTTACTTCTTTGAGAACGGTATTTTTCATTGAATTCTCGGATCGATCTAAGTTAGACAATCATCGGAAACCTGGAGGCACTAGATGGCTGTGTCGTCCAGGTATGCAGGATCTCAGTAAGACACATTAACGACGGCTTTGCGATTTCAACAAAATTTAACAATCTCCACAACCTCATACTGACATTTATCATGCACTCCAAAATGCTTAGCTTCAAAAAGACTATCAGATTTCTAATGAGAAGCCGTGGCCAATGAAGCTAAACTGTATCAGTTGTGGAGGATGTATCTACCGAAGACAATTAAGATGGTAGTTCACTGTCATAGATTGAGGTTAGACTTCACACAGTTGAATCTCTGCTCACTGGTTTAGAGTTTAAGCGTTTGTGCACCAGACAAGTCTTGTTTTCGATTCTTAATCGTGTCGTAGACGCGCACTGGTGAGGAGTACCATGCTAGAAAGAAGAGGCTATACAGTGCTCCTTGGTTCACAGCGGTGTTTCAATTCAGATCAGTACGTGATTATAATGAGATTCGACCTCCAAAAAACCACACTAACATCCGCATTTCTTACTTTCATATATTGTAGTTGAATGTCTCAAACATTATATTTGAATCTATGTAACATTTTTTTCTGATTGTTCGGCTCACTCAGTATAGACTTGCTGTCATTCCAAAATTCGTTAATCTCCGATCAAAAGTAACTAGGAGTAGTAGCTCTCCTCAAAATCTTTCCGAAACTCAGTTAAGCAGAATCTAAAACTGGAGGGTTTGAACAATTCAAGTTTGAGTAAATCTGCTAGTATTGACAAGTATCGACCATACTGTCCAGTACACCCCACTGCCTAAACGAAATTTTGGAGGTTCGTTATGAAGCACAAACCTGTTTTATATAAGTACACTCGATCCAGCTAATGTCTGATGTGTCAATGTCTGGGCAAAGAACTGTCCAGTAGAAGAAATAAATGACCTGATAGCATAATAGCAGTAAAATATTCAAGTTATAAGGCCAAAAAAGTTGTATTTGAAAAAAAACTTGAGATTCACAAGCAGATAATCGATTAGTCGCCAGTCAAAGGGAGGAAGAACAGGCACAATCACGTATTTCTCACTGCTGGTCTATCTTATTTGAAATATTTTTTCCAGCTGGTTGTGATCCTTGCTCCTTTACGACTTTACTTACTCAAAAAATACGCATTAGCTTAAACTCAAAATATATCGATATCCTAATATCTACCGAATTCACTAAAAATATTAAAGACGAGTAATTGAACTACTCGTGTTGTACACACACCAAGATATGAATACATCCTGTCACATCAAGATAAGATTTGAAGAAATGCCTTTGGTTTATCTTGCAAAATCTCAGAGGCATTGGATATTTCGGAGCGCCTAACACAAACGTGTGGCCTTGCGGCAGTTTAAATGGACAAGGAGGGTCCTTCATGGAAAGATGCTATACTTACATCCCTGCTTGAACGTGATATTATTGAGAAGTCATTTTTTACTGAAATTTTTACACAATGTTTGTTTAAATTCTCATTTATTTACAATTTCAGACGACTCAAATAAGGACATTGTGTTATACCTCAAGGGGGAAAACACTCGTCTTGTACGTGAATTAACACTATGCCAACAAGAGAAATCCTCAATACAGCTAGAACTTGAAAAGATGTATTCTTCTTTACCTTGATATTAAGGTTTCCCTTAGAAAGTCTGTCAAATCCTATGACTATGAGCAGAAGGTGTTTCATTTGCAAGAAGAGGTTACCGAATTGCATCGACAGAAAGGGAACGTAAGTTCAAAAGTCTATTTGCAAAACTGCTAGCTCGCGCAAAATGTTATTGATTTAAACAGAGTTCTTCAGGAGAAAGACACCTTGCTCCAATCAAAGTCCTTGAAGTTGGTTTTACAGTTATATAAGCGAGCTGTTTAGGATTTCGGAGTTAGAGGACTGCCTTAAGGCTAACCAAGTGCAGAATCATCACTTGATGGAAAAGGTTAAGGGACTAGAGGAAACTAAAGAAGTGTGTTGTGTTGGTGTTATGCAACATGTGTTCTCAGTTGCTTACAGATGAACAGGCCTCACACTTAATGACCGCAAAGGCACTAGAAACAAAAAACAGGCAACTTGAGGATGATAATCTGCAACTTATGAAACGAATAAAAGCCCTCCAGTCCACTGTCGAAAGGTTGAAAAATATAGAGTATGATGTGCAGTATAGGTAAGTCTAAAATATTAAACATTTCGTAGAAAAACTCAAGAAACAATCCGCAAGAATCTTCAAGATGCAGTCAATTCGACTATATTCGTTACTGATAGGTTTAATTCTGTTGTTTCTTGTAACTTTTCAGTGATTGCTCGGACAAACCACTACCCTGTAAATCTGCACTTCCGCGTAACGTTGCAGTCAAAATAGTAAGTTCTCTATCAACATTCTTGTGATTGTCGCTTCTAGGATGCTAATGAAAATGAAGTAAATAGTGTTCGGTTCACTCCATCAGGCCACATTTTCGGATCAGCAGGATTTGATCGTAAACTCCGATTATGGACATATCTAAATGGTATACATTTTTTAATTGCCCAGCGTAAAATTTTTACAATGTCAAAACGAAACCTTTCTTGAATTAGAGGCGTTGTTGTATACTCTGCATTTACTTTGTTCTTGAGTGAATTTCGTATCACATGTGGTATAAAATTTGTAAAGTCATACCATTCGTATAATTTATAGTAGAATATTTTATTGTGCAAGTGTTTTCATACTTTTGCAATTGCTTATTTTTTGAAACTAGGAAAATGTGAAATCCATTCAACCCTTGTTGGTTGTAATGCTGCTGTCACTGCCATAGATTTTGACCCAAATGTGAGTTTCCCAATGTAACTGGGATGTTTTTTTGAGTAAGTTTTATGTATACATCAAACGCATTTCCAGAGGAACTTATTCCTAGTTTCATTAAATCGAGCATTCAAAAATAGTCGTGGTCATGATTTATGCATCGAAATCTGTGGGCCCTGTAAATACTTTGGATTATTATGTGCCATATAATCATTGTAGACCAACCACCATCGCGTTGTCAAATACGTTCAGTGTTTTATTATTAATGGATCTACTCACCTAATTTTCCAATTCGCTTAAGTCTCAGTTTATTCTGCTTACATGGGTCTGACGAATGAACACGAGAACACCTCAAAGCTTAATAATTTTTGTCATTTCACGCTGTTTTAGTATGTCGTGCTTCGGTCTGGGCACCCAGGCAGTATCACAGCCCACACACAAATCAAGTGACTTGTATGACGTATATGTATTCTGGTACTCCTTTGTACCAATGCTTATGTGTTCAAATAAATAAAATATTTTAATTTATACCTCATAAGACGGATTATGAAAGAAAAACAAAAATAGCAGTTAACTATGCGAAATGAAGTCAACACAAAAAACGAGACAAAATGTGACATCGGTAAAGTAAATCATGGGGTAAGTAGTAACTGAATATTCACGTTACAAAGTACCAATCGTCACAACACCCGCTGAATCTCCGTGCGGCATATTCACCGTATTTAAGCAATGCTAAAGAAAACCTAATCTCTAAATTTACACACAATGATGTATTTGACATTACGTTTGAACTCGAACACCATTAAAACATTCCCCATTTGACAGATTAAAACGTCCGTTCTCGCTCAACGTCAGTTAATTTTGTTTTTTCTTCATTTGATAAATCGTCGCCAAGTGGTATAGATCTGTTCGTCAGAGGTTTCTTTCTTGCTCAGCAACAAGTACTCGATTTGCAAATAATGGCTGTAAAATGTTTCACACTACTCAATAAGTTTACATCCGTCTTACCGTTTGCTGCCTGTCTTTTTGTTTATCGATTTTTATCTTTTAAGTTCTGGCTATTGTGGTTTGCGCATGTCAATATTATGTTATCGTCCATCCGGAGCTACTGGCTACATCGAGGTATCTTTTTCATTAGAGCAGTCCTTAGAAAGAAATCAGTGTTCTTGCAAATACTTAGCGATAGTCCAACAAACCAGCGACTTTGAAGTTTTGGATCACAGACTGACAATTAATATAAAACAGAAAGCATTAGACAGGTGTTTCGTCCTGGTCTAGGACTCTTCACCGATTCACATCCAAAACTCTACCGAGACTCAAAGACAGGACTTACAACATTCTCGATGAGGGCCTGATCTTTAAATCATGTGACCCAGTAACCAGTCCGTTACCTGTAACTTCAAATTTTAAAGTATCCACAAAACCCTACAGTGACCGTCGATTGTTAGTGTAGACCATAGGGGGCATGATAGTACATGATTTGGCTTTGCGCAACAGTATGACTTACCAGTCGAAATCTCTTAAGATTGATTTCGCTTGTGTAAATTCTTTTCTGCATGAATCTTTTGAGCGTTATTAGTCTGAACTCGTGGTTTCACGATTCTTCATTCATCCCACTCTATTTAAGTAAAACTTTACTCTTATCAAACTATCGCAGATTGTTAATGATCCTAATTTATATCTATTCATGTTGAAGCAATTCTTTTCTTTAGTCTAGTTATGCCTTTAAAGTATTATTAATTTTGCGCGACATTTTGCGTTACCTAGTATAAGTTCGCAGCCGAAGAATGTTAAATATTTTTGTTTTCTTTCTTTCATCGTACTAACCCACTTTGTGTTTTGTCACTTACTCTTTTTCCTGATTTATTTTAGGAAACTGCTGTTTTAGGTGCCTCAAGTGATTTTTCGTGTCGTGTATGGACACTAAATGATTCCAGACTTCGAGTCAATTTGACAGGACATTCTGAGCGTGTTATCTCTGCTAAATTTATGAGGTCTGCTAACCGCGTTGTCACTGCTTCATCAGATAGAACGATCAAGGTGATTTAGAGTGTTTAGTGTTATCACTGCAATCACTCTTTTCAAAAATAATTTTAATATTAGGTGTTGAATACTTGCTAGAATTCTTATCTTATGGATGATTTTGTTTTATGAACTTAAACAGGTTAAGATGCATTAATGACATAAATTCTCTGTTTGTTAGGCATCATCCTGTATGTGTAGAACTATATGATAATGGATCCACATAACAGTGACCGTAGGTTGAAGCGTTTGAGCAAAATCGTTTAATAAAAATCGTACGAGACATTCCCAGTTTCTGAACTAGGTTAAAACAAGATTTTCTTTAAACTCACTAAAATGACATCAGCTGTATTTTGAAATTTGCCAAGAATACATTGTCAAGATAGGATTATTAAAATGGTATTTTGTTCAAATGTACATTCTATACCACATAGATTTTTATAATATGACACTTAAAAGCATGCTTAACTACTCATTATCCTAATCTAAAAGGTTGTGCAGCTTATACTTCGTTTTATGTAATAGTGATTGAATTTCCTTCTATAATCAATTGATTTTACTTTGGGTAATCTCAGATTTGGGACGTTGACAAGTGCTGTTGTAGGCGTACCATCATGGCTGCCTCCACATTCCAAGATGTAGTTGTTTGTCCCTCCATGTCTGCGCTTGTTACTGGCCACTTCGATCAGCATTTACGCATTTGGGATGAACGATCTGGGGAAAATACTGGCAAAATCTTGCTGTCCGGGCGTATTACTGGTATGGACATCTCCTCTGGTGAGTGTTTGACTTTTTCAATAATGTTTTGTAGTTTACAATCGATCAAGACTTTAATAAACGCAGTTGTCGCAACTTAGCTTAAACTAGCTGTAATTTTTTATCATGTATTTAAACTCTACACGAATCTGCATACTTTTTTGAGCTTACGCGATATAAAGTACAAAAATTCAGTACCGTATTTTCGAACGTCCATTTTGAATTACTTTATGGGTTAGAGATAATCTATCCCTGAGTCAATTTTCACACTAATCTTCATCCTGGATTTCTCGTTCCTGAAGCTACAAATTAACCTTAAGTCCCTAAAATTACATTATGTCCCCGGTTTACGAGTAATAATCAATCCAAAGCCTGGGTCAATCAACCATAATTTGCAGAAAACGTCCACATTACAGTATATCACTATGTTATGTCGATCGGTAGAAATGTTACTAATAGATTTACTTTATGTACCTTAGAGGATAACAGTTCTTCATCATTCGATGAGCTTTTAATTAGATGATTTGTAAGTTCATAGAAGGTTTCAGCTAATACAAATGCACTGCTGTAGAGTTTCATACTAGAACGAAACGGTCATCCAGTGCTTCCAGGTTTTCACTGGTGGTCTAGCCTAGATTGACCCATGGATTCAACCGTTAAAATTAATATAAATATCGTCAATTCTAACTAGTGCCCCCGAATGCCCTGGTATGGCCGAGAGTGGGGAGAGTCAACTCTTCCTCTTGAAATGCTCTCACACGGCCACGCATATATAACCTCTTCCAGGGAAGTCCTACTCACTGCCTTCTCGTGACAAGGGTGTTGTTTACGAAATTGAGAAGACGAAAAGCGAACGTCCGACACTTTAACTGGGTTGGTGGACATGGAGAGTTCAACTAGGGGAGTTGGAAAACCCTGATTCCAAACCAATGGTGCCCATAGGCTCCAATATCCTGAATGAACAAATGGCGTATAAACCAACCGTTGGTCACCGGCTACCATGAGACTGCATCTCCTTATGATGCTCAACTGCCTTGTGGATCAGACCTTCCGGTCGAAGGTTGAGGGTGTGGCCCCCTAGGAAAACCACCTGCTTCGGTTTGGGCACCCAGGTAGTATCACAGCCCTCATACATATCAAATGAGATTTGTGTGGCGCATATGTATTTGGTGCCTCCTTGTACCAGTATCTGTGTTAAAATAAATAAATAGATAAATTCTAACTGGCGTTGAATTTAATAACTTATCAAAATATTAATTAAGAGAATCTCCGTTTGGAGTCAGTGAACGTAACATATTCATTATGTACTCGGCCTCATCACAAAGTTTGGCATAGTGGATTGGGGGGGATAATATACTTCGCAAAACGCTAAACCCGTTTTGTGAAGAAACATAGATGATTAATACCCGTATATTCCCGAACAGACCTTCATGAATCGTTCTTTCTTAGTCGATATGTAGACAAATAAATATTATTTATTTGAATACATAAATATCGGTACAAAGGGGCAACACAAGTCACTTGATTTGTGTGTGGGATGTGATACTGACCGGATGTCCAGACCGACGCAGGTGGTTTTCCTAGGGGGCCACACCTGGAGCTTTCGATCTAAAGGTCTGACCCACAAGGCAGTGGGGCAGCTTCAGTAGATGCAGTCCCATGGTAGTCACTGACCAATAATTGGTTCATATGCCATCTGTTCACCCAGAATACTGGGGCCCATGGGCACCATTTGTCTGGAATCAGGGTTTCCAACTCCCCTAGGTGGACTCTCTGCGTCCATCAACCCAGTTAAAGCGACGGACACTCACTTTTCGTCCTCTGAATTTCGTAAACAACACCCCCTCCACGAGAAAACAGTGAGTGAGACTTCCCTAGGAGTGGCTGTATACGTGTGACCATGTGAGAGCATTCGGATAGGAAGAGTTGACTCTCCCCACACTCGGTTGTACTAGGGCAGATAAATGAATACATAGAGTGCCTACTCAGAGGGATTCACTGAAGCTTGAGCAAAAGTATCTGAAATACCAAACACACCGTTTTATGTTTGCCGAAACAATTCACACAAGGTCAAATAAAGTCAAAAAGTCTTGGCTTCTCAGAATATGTATGTAAGTATATAAATAATAAATGATTCTCCAACAAATAACAGTCAAAAATTAAGGAGGAAAAATATATTTGTGAAATTTCAGAGATTGAATTTTAAGCAAGTCCGACGTTTCTCTTAGCAATTTGGTTCAAGCTTGTTCAAGGAAATACAATCAAACATCAAAATTTTGGACTATGAATCGGTACATGGTTCTCCGGTTAACTGTATATTAAACAGGTCATCCAATCATGTTAACAAAGTTGAAAGTATACATAAAATGAAGATAAATAAAACAAAATAAAAACAAATGAATAAATGCTTGTGCTGTTATGCTACTTAGGTTAATTGTTTACCATATATTTCGATAAATCAACTAATTAGAACAGTTGAAAGTAATTGTTGTTGTCCAGATAATGAGTGGTAGATTAAATGAAATAAAGAGTTCAGGTTTACTTATTAAACATTAGTTGCCATGGAACAACTAATTACATTCCATCTTAATAATACTGTTTGGATTTGCCCACATGTGTATGGCTTTAGCTGTTAGTCTCTCTTTTTAAGACCTGAAACTTATTTTTAGGATCTTTATGCCACTGAAGCCAATTGTATGGCCCAACTCTACTGAGTGTTATGTTATCGCTGATTTTTTGAGCTTTTTTAAAATATCAACTGAGAATTTAGAAATGTGCTTCAAGCAAAGTTTGTGTTTCTTCATCTCCACATTCAGTTTTCGTGGTCTCACCTACATATATAAAGTTGGGTCATATAATTGATTGGATGACCTGTTTAATATACAGTTAACCGGAGAACCATGTACCTATTCATAGTCCAAAATTTTGAGGTTTGATTGTATTTCCTTGAACAAGCTTGAACCAGATTGCTAAAAGAAACGTTGGACTTGCTTAAAATTTAATCTCGGAGATTTCACAAATATATTTTTCGACTTTAATGTCTTACATTAACAATGAAACTATTCGTTCGAATTTAGACGAAATACCCGATCGAAGCTGCTACCTTGACGCGGTGGTCGGGCTTGCCTATCGTGATGACCCAACCGAGCTATAATGGCTGGAACATATGTTCCTGCAGGTTCTACCATGCCAGGCAGGTCGATTGGCGAACGGTAAGACTAAAAGCAGCAACTCAAGGTCTGAGGGCGAAGTCGTACTGCTGACTGTAGAGAGGTGTGACAGCAGTAAGGTGTTTCCCTCGGACAACCAGCATGACAGCGATGCTGCCTTCCCACAAGGAGGGATGGGGTTAGAAAAGGTCGACCCTAAAAATGTCACATTTCACCTTACCTCACGGATTTCCGTCTCCGGCGGTAAGGCCCTTTGAAGAACGGAGCTAACACGTCAAAAACCTTCTACAAAAAGGCCGTGCGCGACTGGCCTCAAGCAGTTGTCCCTTGGGCTCTGCGGTCACGCTCCCAGGTCGTCAAGACCAACACTAATCCAATTTCCTTTTCAGGTTCCTCAAGAAATACCCTTCCACGGTGTGGGCAGCCGGGAAGTGACATCAGCCCTCATACCCGTAACAGCACAAGAGACCAAGGTGGTCACATTCAAATCCTTCCTACACCTCCTGATACCTCTCTTATCTCCCCGACTAACCCTCCTCACGTTTCTATATTATCTCGCACCGCTAGGGCAAACGATTCGAGTACGTGGAACGCCATTCCTGGTGTCCTGAAACCACGCTCTAAACTACACGTAGGAGCTTTTAACGTACGAACACTTTGCCAAATAGGACAGCAGGCTTCATTAGCTAAAACTTTAGAATCCCGCGCCATCGATGTGTGCTGCGTCTCCGAAACGCGCATACAGGATCCGAGTAGCGTCATTCATTTGACCTCACCATACCAAAATAAAGAACCGACTCGGTTTACACTTCGTGTATCTGGAAGCCCTGATTCCGCTTCCCGTGGCCTCGCCGGCGTAGGTATAGCATTGAGTCCTAGGGCAGAACTAGCTCTCTTAGAATGGATCCCAGTAGACAGTCGTTTGTGCGCTGTCCGACTGAACGGAACAGTAAGAATTCGGAAAGATAGGGACACTCGTCGTTGCCTCTTCGTCGTCTCTGCCTATTCTCCCACTGACTGCAGCTCAGATGATGTAAAAGATGAGTTTTACAGAAAGCTTTCGGACCTTCTCCGAAAAGCTAAGCGCTCGGATGTAGTAATAGTGGCCGGTGACTTTAATGCTCAAGTAGGTAAACTAAGCGATAGGGAAAGACACCTAGGTGGATCTTATGGTGTCGTGGCTCAAAGAACAGATAATGGCGACCGTCTGTTGCAGCTATGCTCAGATAACCGCCTGTTCCTTGCAAATACTAACTTTAAGCATAAGGAAAAACATCTTTTAACATGGCGACCCCCTAATTCGTCCCAACGTTGGACCCAAATAGATCACATCGCTATCAGCCACCGATGGAGGGGCTCGATAGAAGACTGTCGCTCATTCTGGAGCACATGCCTAGATTCAGATCATGCTCTAGTGCGAGCGCGTATTTGCTTGCGTCTTACTGGACGTAGGAAAGACGCTGCAAGGAAACCTCTTAGGGGCCTACTTAATGATAGTCAAGCTAAGAGTATATTTCAGGAACAACTAGGAAAACAGTTAGGCAGCCATGTAAGTGATGCCCACCCCGATGCAGCATGGAATGATATCCGAAAAGCTGTGGAAACAGCAGTGATATCTGCTAGCAAGGTAAACCAGAAGGTTAGGGAGCACCACTGGATCTCACAAGCATCTATCTCACTGATAGATGCTCGGAAACTCATTCCATCTGGCTCTGAACATAATGAAGAGCGGAGTCAGCTTAAGCGCAAGCTGACAAGAAGTCTACGCAATGATCGCGAACAGTGGTGGGTAGCGAAAGCAAGAGAGATGGAAAAGGCAGCGGCAATAGGTAATAGCAGACAATTGTTCAG